CCGAATCCAGAGATTATAAACAGTTTCCAATCTAATTTCATCAGTTTTCAATCTCTTGCCCGAATCTAAGCGCGAGGAAACATTTTGAAGGTATAGCTCGAGGACTGTGGTAACGACAGCTCGGACTGAATGCTGCTGTAATTAGTTAAAGACAAGGGAAATATGCTACCTTGCTTGTGTTTATTAACCGAAAAAAAAAATTCAACGTTAAAAAGGTTTACTTTGAATTGAAGTAAACAGCACCAAACGACGGCAATTAGCAACGGCATTAAATTTAAGTGTGTGATCCGGATGCAACAAATAGTACATCATACAATGATATTAATACTAGAAGTTGAACTTCGTAAAAAACCTTTTCAGTTTAGCTCCAAACTTGAGTTGGCCACGGATGAGCTCGACGGTAGCCTTTTACATTCTTTGCTTCTTGAGGAAGAAGTTTTCCCTGTTCCGAACATGTCTTCTTTTCGCTTTTCCAAGTGCTACGTTCGCGGTTGCCACTGGTACAACGCCATCTTAGCCTATTTGTTTGAAAATTCTTCGTGCGATCTACTTTGGCAAAGAATTGATCCATTCTCTCCCTGGTGTCCTTGGCTATTTCTTCCTGAAACGAGAGAGTGAAGAAGTTATTATGATTAATCTATAGGCCTACTCGCTAACAGCGCACTGAAGCGGAAATAGGCACAGGGCGTGGTTTTAGGGGGTGTGAAGAGGGGGATGGATGTGACAGTTTCAAATATAAACTCCTATCTAAACCACTTGCTCTGGGAGAGAGAGGCTCTCATCCAAAAGGTTCTCATCCAAAGGTTTCTCATCTTTCTTTTTTTCTTTTTCTTTTTCAATTGTTAGAAAGTAAATCGGCCCAGCAACCAAAGAGCAGTCCCTCTTTTCCAGCACAATCCTCACCCGTCAAGCCCCTTCGAGCGAGTCAATAAAAACATGGAGCCACGAGAAAATCTGAGAGGTAGAAACTTCCTTTATTCTTACCACTAGGTAAGTGTACTTTGCAAAGCTTTGTTTGCGCTCAAAACTTTCGTTTAATTTATTTGGCTACTAACGATGTTTAAGCTATCTACTATTCAGTTTCAGATTCTTGTTAACCCATTCACGATTTTGATGCGTCCATAATCCATACTGTTTTGAAAGTTACATTTATTCGAATTGTTTGGCCTGTTATCAGCATAAAGTTCACATTTGTTGGTGTTTTTCAGACTACTTAAGCTATCTTCGAGGTTTAAACTTGTTTTCTTGGAGTGTTTTGCTTGTTACACTAGCTCTTTTGTGTGCCACCATCTCGGGTGTAACCAGATGAGGCAACGCCTGACGATGTGTTGGCTTAAAGTTTGCGCACCGATTAATGATCTTCAACCATCAAGGTTAAAGAACATAAACAAGAAAGTACGTAGGCACGTAGCTTCATGGTGATTTACAGTAATAACACAGAAGTTGTAACAGCAGAGAAGAAGCATACTAAGAAAAAAGCTTTTGAGATTGAAGACTCTTGGTGCCTACCGCCCAGCGTGGTTTGTCCATTCAGCTATACCTGAGCTATGAAAAAAAACAATGTCCCAAAAATATGATGAGCTTGGCGATCCTCACCATTCCGTGACAGAGTAGCAATCAATTTGAACAAGATTTCAGGAGCCACCTTAATTTCATCGTAGCCAATTTTCCTCACCTGCGATTTTCTTCCTTTCGAATCTTGTGGAACATCAACTTGGAAAAGTTTAACGTCTAGGCTTCTAGTCCTGTTCAATTTCCCTTTGGCTTGTTTCGCACCCAAGTTCTCCTTTTTGCTTTTTTGCTTTTTAAGCTTCCGCCCATCATTAAAATGCACGAATCTGCAACTTCTCGACCCATCAGTGTCCTGGCTCCGTTCGTTCTTTGAGGCGCTAGAGTTCCCAGAGGGTTCTGAATCGTATGCCGTGTCCTCTTTGATATTGTTTTCTGTTGACTGTGAACTTGTTGTGATTTCACCCAGCCAGAAATCGTTTTTGGAATGCACAGAAGTCAAATTTAGATCTTGTGCAGATCCCTCTAGCTTTGAGGTGTCAGTTAAACTAGAGCTTATGTCCGTCGACGTATTTACTGATGGTGATTTCAGAGATTTCTCAAAGTCATGTACTGTCGCAGAACTAGAAAAAGTGGATCGACCTCTGACGTCCGGTTGGCCTACGGCTTTGAGTCTTTTTTCTTGATTTGATTGTGATCGAATTCGACTAACACCGTCCTTCAAGCATTTTTCGCCAGCTTCAAGACCCGAGTTGCTATGACTTCTAGTCGTCGTTAGTAGGACGCCGTTTTCAACGTCGGAACATAGTATTTCTAGTAGTGTTAAGCCTGTTGACTCTGACTTTTTCTTTGCCTGAGCTTTTCTGTCAGCATTTTGTTTACCCTCGTCCCTTTGCAGGTATCTTGGTCTTTTATCACATGGATTCAATCCATCGTGCTCAGCTGCTGCTGAGCTGGTAATTATGGGGTTGGTTCCCTCATTGACAGTCACGGTGTTGTTGTTGTTCATTTCTTGTGGGAGAGCAAAAAAAAAGTCTTAGTCGCGAAGTTATAAAAGAATGCAAGACAAACTCATAAAGAGCTACATTTTCCACTGTAATTACATAAATTTAGACGCGAAAAGGGATCGGCTCCTTCTTTTCTGACACTACTGAGGACAATGAAACATTTTAGGCTCAGGGTTTGCTGAAGTAAATTCAGAAACATGGCATTAGCGTAATTTGACCATCTGAAAGCCATAAAGTGCATTTCGATACAATAATCACCACACCAGTCGCATCAAAAGGGAATACCACAAGGAGCCGATGAAATCTCACAGCACCATTGCCTAAAGCGCAGGAAAATTCAAGTGACTGAATCAAAAATGGTTTCAGTTTTGTATCTGAATGGTTGAGACGGTGTTATGAGTTTTCTGAGCCAACCACAGAGCGAAAAATGCAATATTCAACGTCCTCTTATCTTTTCAGGTAGTAAATGCAGTGCACTTGCATGACAAGTTAGCTCTAAACGCGTAATGAAAGGCGTGATGCGCTTGATTATGTCGAGTATAAGAGCGTCGGGAAGCTGCATGGTTGCCCAACTAACTGCAGCAAAAAGAAAAAAAAAAAGGTAAAACAAGAGTCGACCGACCTTCCTTGAGTTCTGTACTCGGATGAGTTACAGAATCTTTTTCTCTTTTGTCACCATTGGCGTGATAGTTCTCTCCATACTGGCTCCAATATTCTTCGCCTGACTTCACTGTCGGACGGAGTGACATTTTGAATACATGTGTTTGCTCCTTCAGCTGATTCAAATATTGCTTTTTCTCCTTCTCTAGTGTGTTAAAAAGAACTTGCAGCTTGTAATCCTCAAGTGAGAAACCTTTAAAGAACCTGGAAGACGAATTTTCCATTGCACCGAGTAAGTCAAGAAATTTCAGTGGTTACGTTCGTGTTTATGTTGTGACATCATAATTGTCTTTGACGTCACTAAACGCGACATGTCAGCATGTGCTTAACAGCACGTCAGCCAATGTCTGCGCATGAGCAAATATTTTAAAGGTTAGATAGCTCGCTATCAGGTTGACAGAATCAGGTTGTCTCACGCGGGTTACAATCGACCACACAAACCAGTAAGTCGCGGTGTTTTTAAAAACCTGCAACATTTTGATAAGCTCAAAATGGAATGAGTAAATCGATGGGATACACGTACTTGAATAAGCCTTCGAAAAGTTTCGAGTTTCCCTTTCCCAACTATGGCTTCCTTTTACAGATTTCAACAAACGTTTCAATTTTATTTCACTTATTTCGCGAGACATCGGTTGTTTCTAAAGTTTTCCTTTGAAATTTTGCAAGGGAAATTGGCGCGCGGCCGGCTTGAATCGATCCCCTCGCGCATGCTCGACGTTTGACCGCTTTGTTGAGCTTGACAGGAGGGACTTTGCAGTGGTTGACAGACTTGCACAAGCTGCGCGTGATCACGGATTCAAAATTTCACCACCGTACATATCGACTGCTTGCAGCATTTACTTGATAGGAGGGGAATATTTTCCTTTTTCAGCTAAAGGACGTTTGCTTTAAGACATGTCATATTCACCAGCAAAATATCAAGGTGATATTAACCGCGTGACTTTCTTAATTGATGAGGGATCTCCTTGTCCCTATACGATAAATCAGAAATCTTCTTTTTCATTTAGGGAAATGAAGTGAAATTTCGTCGAAAGTCTTTTGTCATTAACAAATGGTTTTATAAAACGAATGTACTAAAGGGTATTTCATAACAATGCGCATCTCTCTCAGTCCAAGTTTGGGAACTAAATACACTTCCTCACTGCCAGATTATTGAACAAAGGAGCAGTCAGATCATGTCATAGTTTTGGTTAATTGGTCACTGGACATCGTGACATCCAATTCTGTCTGTAATCATACCTGTGATTAATAAATTGTGCTCCTTTGCGGATTTTGTCACTCATTTGTATGATTATAACCTTTATTACACCCATTTTGAAATCACTGGTGGTCCCTGTAATCTGATTGGCTCTAATTGGTGCGATTTATTCACAAATCACATTTTTTTTTTGCTTTAAATCGCATCTTTTTCCCAGCCAATGAGGAGGCTACACCAAAAACAAAACAGCCAATCAGATTTCAAGGCTTGTTTAAAGAAACCAATCAAATTGCAAGAAAATGAAAGACAAAGAGTATCATACTTATGATTTCAAATTGAACTTGTGCTGCATGCTCGTTCAATTTTGAAATCACATGTATGATTTCAGCCCAAATTGCACTCCACTCAGTTCAATTACCACTATGAATTGAACCCCACTCATTCCTATAAAACCATTACAAATCAGACTTTACTTGCTCTGATCATTAGTAGCTATCTTTTACCCTTCCCAAAATAAGAGAGAGAAAAACAAAGAAACCAACCAACTAACAAAAATAAAGAAACATGCAAAAACATGACCAAATCAGAACAAAAAACAACCAAAATAAATCACACGATACAATCTGTAAGATGTTGTAATGGTAGAACTTTTATTTGTGGTCCTTCTGTAACAATTTACATGGAGCTCATTTTGGCCTTCTCCTGCAGTCTTCTGTCTCGCTCCTCAGCAATAGTAAGCCTGACACCCTTGCCCTTGGGCAGGGACACATGTGGCTTGTTGGTCTTGCCAATGATGAAGATGTTACTGATACGCGTGGCAAACTGATGGCCAGTGTTGTCTTTCACGTGGACAATGTCAAATGAACCTGGAAATGATGTACACTTACTAAGATATTGGTTGAATGGCATCAGTTTGAAAGCTTTTTCAGAAGCTAATATCTTGTGCTACTAAACTTAAAGTGCTTTCTCAGACTGTCTTTCATTTCTTGATTGTCTATGGTTTTGAAGGTGGTCTGGCCAGGAATGGACCTGAGAGGACCTATAAACCTTGGAGTCTGTTTGAATTCAAGTCCTTTTAATTACACTTTATTGCATTTTAAATGAAACAAAATATTTTCTTGATGAATCCTAACTCAGTGATGAAAAGACTTTTTGCATGTATATCTATTTGGATTTTTAAAGTTCAATCAACCACTCATTTGAAAACTCCTTGTGAAAGTTCCAAATGATCTAACATAAAATACTCCATCCTATTTTAAAGAGAAAATTCTCTGAACTAGGCCTAAGATCTCTAGCATAACATGCACATTATGCAGCCCTGTTTACAGAAGATAGGACAGAAAAAAGAATTGCTCTTCTAGTTTCAGTTGCCCAAACTATCAATTTCCTACCTGCATGTCTCTCACGATGAGTAACAATTCCAACTCGGCCCATGTTGCGTCCTCCAACAACCATAGCGAGATTTCCAGTGTCAAACTTGATAAAGTCAATGATCTTACCACTCTTGATTTCAATTACCACAGTGTCGTGCAGAGAGATAAGAGGGTCAGGATAACGGATGGTACGACCATCATGGGTAACAAGGTAGGGAACACCCTTGGCGCCAGTGGCCACGCGTCGCACTTGACCAAGCTTGTACTGCAAAGTCAAACAAGCAAATCTTAAAAGGAGCAAGCCCAAAGTCATATGTTACTCACCATAACTGACTGCTTTGGACATGTGTAGCATTGAAACACAATCATGTGTAAATTTGTGTCACTTTGTGTCTGGATAGACAAGTGGATAAGTTCAAAGATATAAAATGAAACCTGTCAATATGCAGAGTTGAAGGTCAAGTCCTGAACTTCTTTTTTCTCCTTTAAGCAAATATCAAATGATAATTTTTTTTCACTCATGTCTATTAGGGTAAGCAGCAACAGTTCAGGTATACACAACAACTCCTTGCTAAAGGCTCAATTTTTAGGAAGAGTTCATGGTGGTTGGCATAAATACAAATGATCAAAGAACAACTCAAGCCAAACTACAATTAAAGTTCCCTTTGTTTTTTAAAGAAAAAATCTTGCCAAAT